CTGGTACTTAAATGCTTAAATACTTTTCTCCATCAACAAAAGCAAAATTAGCAGATGATATTCAGGTTAATACGTGATTTGCCAAAGCTTCTAACCTATTCTTGTTGCTAAACATTTTACCATCTCTTTCTTATTCTGTTGCAATCAATAAATATTATGCTTATTAGATATATGTTTTCAGGTCCTAAACACACAATGACCTCTTATTAGCATTCTCAACAAATCAGTAAAAGGTTCTGCTGAGAAACTAGCTCTTTATCAGCCTGAAAGAGCTGGCACTTTGGAGCTCACACAAATAATGACTTTCAAAACTTCTCAAAGAGGCTAGAAACCCAAAGTTAGCATGACCCAAACTCCAGACTGAAACAGAATTTTTTGGCAAGAGTGCATGAACAGGAATCTACATGAAAACATACCATTGCAAAATGACTGAATATTCCAAAATACTGCAGAATGATGAACAAACGTTTTGCTCAGGTCCTCCAACTTTTGCTGAATCCCAGAGAACACTTTTAAGTTTTAGGACATTCTTTCTCCCTTCTTAAGAATGAGCCTGCAAATTCAGAAGCTACCAAAAACCTAAGTATGTCAAATTTTCAAGTATTTTAATGTTATCTGACATCAGGCAATGAGTTGTCAACAAATGCGATCACATTTCCACAAATATTTTCTAGACAAAATTCCTCTTCAGTTCTAGAAAATGTGGTTTATATACCATATAAACAAACAAATAAACAGCACATAGGGAAAAACAAGTATGAAGGAGCTACAAAAAAATTTATAAAAGATGGAATGAAAGAGATAATGACATTAAATAATGGAATTAAAAAATACTGAAGCCCTCTCCTGTACTTCTCCCTTGTAAAGTATTTTAAATGTAGCTAACTACATAATAAAATTTATCTTATCAGCATGTTTTCTATGAGGAAACTTCTATTCTTTTTTTAGATTTTTAGAATTGCTTTTCCTGATAGAACCACCATAGCTAAGAACCCTGAACTGTAAACTTGTCCTTTGTCCTAGCTGTTTACTAGGCTTATCAGGGCACACACGGGTTGGCAATGTGATTCCAAGATAAAAATCCCAAAGATATAATTAGATGTTTTTCTGAGAAATGTTGCCCAATGTCATGAAAATGTATTTGTTATTTTCACTTCATATTTGAAGTGATGGTCCCACAATTTCTTGTCATTTAATCATTTTCTTATAGATGAGTAAGAAAAACTAATTTGAAATTGAAGGAAAGCATATGATTTTTAATAAGCAATACTAAAAATACAGATCTTATCTATAATTCTACAATGGAATAATTAAGTCCTGTACAGAACTTTAGTGGCATTTCACTAAATACACTTTCTGCACCAGTAACAGAGTATTGGTGTAATGCTATAGGATAAGCACTGGACTGCCAACCACAAGGTCAACAATACAAACCCACCAGCCACTCCTTGGAAACATTATACAGAGTCGCCATGAGTCAAAACTGACTCCACAGAACATAACAACAACACATCAATAACACACTCCTTAAAGTTTATAAAGCATAATTACAGTGATGAAAAAAATGTGAAGCCCCTGAATTTATATATAAATGATAAACGATAGAAAGATAGATCCAAACAAGTGATGTGCAAACTGCTTTTTGGCACCTTGCTAATGCATTCATGAATGCTCACTTCTGAACAAAGATAAAATAACAAAGGTTGAAAACCACAAAAGTGTATGTGCTGTGTTGCAGGCAAGCACAGTCTAGGTCAGGCAAAGAACAGCTGTGAAAGCATCTCGAAAGTTTTCTAATTGAACTTCATCCTTGCTAGAGAGTGACAGTTTTGCAAAAAAATATCTTCTACTGCCACCTGCTGGAATTTTATAGTCAATGATTCTAAGAGATGCTGGAATGACATAAATTACAGAATAAAGCAGAATCTTTTGATTTTAAAGGAGGAATAATATTTGGGTTAACATCTATATTTGTGCATTTATGAAAAGTCCATTCTGTAAGTGAATATGTAGAACCAAACTTAATGAAATTTGCTTGACTATTGACGCATTATTGTTATTGTTAAGTGTCATCGAGTCAGTTCTGACCCATAGCGGCCCTGGATAGGGATTCCAAGGAGCAGCTGGTGAGCTTGAATCATTGACCTTGCAATTCAAACAGCTTCACAGTCTGGTGCATTAACCTACAGTACCACACCAGGACTCCATTGATGCATAGGCCTGTCTATTATGTCACACAATTACAAAAGGAAGTCAGGGCCTACCACATATCCATCCTTCACAGAGTTGTTCAGAATGGTCTTGGCAGATTTATCTTTCACAGCCTTCATTAATTTAATGCTCTGGGTCAGATAGAGAAGTTGTATTTGCTCAAACAGTCACAGGCCAAGCTTGGAATTTTGAAGATTTCCCTAGAGAAAATCTAAACATAACAAAGATGAATGATCCCAAATGAGAGATCTAAAGCTAAAACTGAAATAACTCCCATTGTCATGATTCTGAACTGTATCAATAAACATAACTTAAAAATATAAAGAAGATGAGCCTATGTTACTATGAGTCCTGGTGTGGTGCTGAAGTATAAACATCGGTCTGCTAACCACAAAGTTGGTGGTTCAAACCCACCACCTGCTCCTTGGAAACCCTATGAGTGGGAACTTAACAACACTTAACAACAACGTTATTATGTTATTGTTGTTAAGTGCCTTCAAGTTACATAACAACCCAGTATAGGGTTTCCAAGGAACAGCTAGTGGGTTTGAACAGTTGACCTTATGGTTAGCAGTCCAGTGCTTATCCTACAGCACCACAGCATGACTCCAATGTTATTACATTGTTGTTGTTGTTGTTGTTGTTAAGTGTCATGGAGTTGGTTCTGACCCATAGTGGCCCTATATGGGGTTTCCAAGGAGTAGCTGGTGAGCTTGAACCTCCAACCTTGTGATTCAAACAGCTTTGCTATAGTCAGTTTCATTTTCTTGGAAGGTCTAAAAGATTTTAGGGGGAATTATGATTCCCTTGAATTTTGTGAAATTTAAAAAGTCAAAATAGGCAGACCACTTTTCAGAAAACAGTGTTTTATAAACAATATACTAATGCTTACTGCCAAGAATAAGCTGTGGCCATTACTTTTAGCTATCTAATGTCACAATTCATATACTATATAACTTTTCATGCCACATTGCATCATATATGCTAAAAATATACCAAAGAACATGGATCTGACTAGACATTTTATCTGAAATTAATGTGAATCAGAAGGCAATGGCCCAACATATAAATCCTTGGGTTTTCTTATACATCCCTAGACATGAGCAAATTTGTTTGCTAGGACACAGAGGAGTTGTCTGTAATTCTACAGTGCTATAATTAAGTCTTGTACAAATTCTGCTGCCAAAAAAAAATCACCAGAGTGGGTGGTGAATACAGCCAAGTAAACTCTAATTATGGAAGGCGGGTTTTCTAAGATCTTACATACAAGAAGCAAAGGCAAGATCAGACAGTTAAAACAGGTTACCAAGGCAATGTAAATAGCCTTGTCAAATTCAATGCAAGCTCTCTTTGAGTAACAGGTAGTTTAAAAATGAAACTTAGGGCCCTCTGCTTGGAATCCAGCATTAATTTTTTTTCCTGAAAGATATAGTTATGAAATTTACACGTGTCATTGTAACATAAAAGGCAAAATTCTAAAGTCCCAGCAAATTTTCAATTTTATATTTCAGTTTCTTGACTCAATGTTATTTTTAAGTTGTTGTCCAGAGTTCTGTAACATGTACTTTAGCATTCTAAAGGATAGTGTGCAAATCATAACTGTGCAGCAGAATCAATGTACACATATTGCATACATTCATGTAGCCAGCTCCTATCAAGAAGTAGAACATTTTCTATATTCCAAAAATGCTCCTTTATATCAAGAGTATAGTAGAAAATAATGCATGAAGTTCTCTCTGGAAAGTGTATTCTTATTGTCTGAATCTCTAATTACAGCCTGAACATACAAATGATTATACTTTTTCCCCTTTGCTCATGCAAACATCTCTTCCCAGAATGCCCTTTTTCTCCTTGCCAACCAATTAGTGAGCTCCTATCCATACAAGTTCCAGCTGAAACCTCCTCCACAAATACTTCCCCACCCTTCAAAGAAAAATGAAATATTTCTTCATCAGTATTCACAGAGTAGTTTGTTCACAATTATTAAATGGCATTATAGTTAGCTATATGTCTATCTACTGTTGCAGACTGTGAACACCTCATGAACAGAAAAGATAATTAATTTCATTTTTTTGGTTTGTGTTCTGTGCCTTAAACTGTATGTTTTACATTGTTTGCTAATGAATGACTGAATCACATTATTTATTTCACAGTTGTTGCTGTAGTTAAGTGCCATTGAATTGGTTCAGAGTCATAGTAATCCTGTATAGGATTTCTGAGGAGTGGCTAGTGGGTTTGAACCACTGACCTTGAAGTTAGCCATCCAGTGCTTATCCTACAGTGCCATCCAAAGAATTATTCAATAAAGAATGTTTCACCAACCTGAATTCCATAATATTAAATAAAGTAAATTACTCAAATGTTTTAAAATATGTATCATTTTAGTAGTCTACCATATAAAGAATTTACAACATAGCAAAACATATTTTAAAATAGATTATGTAAAATATGTTAATTTGTGCATATACAGTAGTAATTTATTCAGCATATATTAGTTGACAATAGGATGCTTTGTGATAAGAAAAAGATGCTGCTGTGTTTGGGGAGTTTTTGTAAGCAATGGTACGTCTTTACAAAAGGAAGTTCACAAATAAACATCAGGACTTAATGTTCTCATATCCTTTTACTGCCCTCCTTCATCTATCCTCCTCCACAACAAAAAAAAGCTAAACAAAAAACTTCATTAATTTAGGTGAAATTAAACTTTACTTGCACATTCAGCTCAAGGATCACAGATAAACAAATATGAACATCTCATGACAAGTCGGAAAATGCCAAAGCTCTCCTACCTGTGTACCTAAACTGGCTGCCATCATGTGAGTCAGAAGTTTAGCTGCAAACATGGAGTACCTGGCACAGAAGATATGGGAAAGAACAGCCAGGCAGAGACCTGTAGAAACAAAAAAGTCCATGTGTGGTTTTACAATCCATGAACAGACAAACAGTATCATATCAAAAATCTTTGGGATACTTAAATACATAAAGACTGTAACCTGCCTACTACGCACAACACAGTAACTCTACAGAAAATTAGCTTGCACTTTTCATTTGCTTCTTTTGCTTCACATAAAAAGTCTTCACGCTGTCAATTAAGTCTGAACAATAATTTTAATTTCAAGATATCTACATGTTTCACTGCTCCACTAAAAAGAAATTGCAAATTGAGGTTAATATTTTTTTCGAAGCATTTGGTGGCTTATGTTTACATTAATCAAGCTTTATTGTTTTAAGGAAAAATTAAAGTTCCAACCAGTTTTTCTAAGAACAGGAGGTTTGGCTAAAAGGAGATATTTAGAAAGGCAAATAGTATTTTTCAAGCATAAAATTGTGAATTTTTGTTGTTAAGTGTCACTAGCTGGTTCTGACTCATAGCAACTTTGTAAAGGGTTTCCAAGGAGTGGCTGGTGTGTTTGAACTCTCAACCTTGTGGTTCTCGGTCCAATGCTTATCCTACAGCACCACATGATACTACCAAACTCAGGTTTGGTAATTACCTCTTTTTATATACAAGGAATAATTATGTAATTACAACAGTGGCAATTAAGAATTTTAAAGGCAACCACATGCAATGGGTGCCAAAACTGGGAACAAAATGTGTTCTTTAACCCAGTAATGACTTTTTCTACATTTCTAACTACTTAAAAGGAAGTCATTCTTATTTTTCAATCTACTTAAATTCTCCAGTTTACACTATTTCAGGGGTGCCATTTAAACCTCAGCTATAATCCACAAATCATTTATCTTGCAATTCATTTAAATGTCTTTAATGTTAGGTTTTAAATTCTGAGTTTATGCATACTTAAAAGACACTTCTTGTCTTTTAAAATTTAAATGCACTGCATATAGAATGGAGGGAAAAAAATGATCATCTGCACGTCTGTGCTTTTTCTTAAGCTTTTGACTCCATTCATTTCCTTGTTGTTGTTGTTGTTATGTACCGTTGAGTTGGTTCTGATCCATCACAACCCTGTAGAGGGTTTCCAAGGAGTGGTGGATGAGTTTGAACTGCCGACCCTGAGGTTTAAACTGGCTTTGCAGTCCAGCACATTCATTTCTATAGTAGGGCTATTTTAACTAAAAATTTTCAAAAACAACAATTGACATGTGTATACTGTTTTGCCATGTCATACACTGCCTAGTTAAATTAATGCTTCCTAGAGGCGTTCTGCTTCCGTAAAGATTTACAGCCTCAGAAACCCTGTGCAGGGTCGCTATGAGTCCGAACCAACTCAACGGCACTTAACAACAACAACCACAACAGACCAACAGGAGTCATGGTGTGGTGCTGTGGGTTAATGCGCCAGACTGTAAAGCCGTTTGAACTGCAAGGTTGTTAGTTCAAGCTCACCAGCTGCTCCTCGGAAACCCTATACAGGGTCGCTATGGGTTGGAACTGACTTAATGGCACTTCACAACAACAGACAAACAGGAGACACTGCACTCATAGACAGTATTGCTTCTTTTTTTCTCTGCTCAAAGTCAGGGAAGACATTTTAACAACACACTACATGTTGACTTGAGTGGAGTGGTCATCAACCAAAGGCCCACATGGGAGCTGCTGACTCATTTTTCTGTACAGAAATGCCTCCATAATTTCTTTTGAGAAAAGCTTTCAATTATGTTTTCAGATTTTAATGCTCCAACAGGAGGGAAAGCTTTATATTAGCCAAGGCCTAGATACTTGGGCAAGGTATCAGAAGCTGCATATTTTTAGGAAGACAGCCATAAGGTGTTCTGGGACAGGTGTGCAAGTCCGGGGACTGCTCCAAAATCCACCCACATAGGTACAAGGTGTATCTTCAGAAACTGTAGAGTCCTGCCTGAGTTTGCAACTTTCCTTCAGTAGTCTATAAACTATTAAAGCTGAAGCTCACAGATCACCAGCATACACTTGAGTTCCCTGATCTCATCAAAATTCACTTTTAATAAAGGTCTGTCTATATATTTAATACACTGACTTAAAAACAGACTATGGAATATTTTTCATCATAAGCCATTTGATCACAAATGTGTGATTTATTATAAATTTGCTGTTGCACAGAATAATAATGTGAGGCAAAGGGATTAGTGTTGGGCAAGGGAGAAATCAAGATGACTCAACTGTTTTTCTAGTTCTCAAGAAGAGCTTATTCATAGGCATTTTCCTTAACTTGAGAATCCCCCATTATGCTCCAGGTATAAATTGAATATACAAATTTAACCAGCTTAGATATATTGGATTAACTATATTAAACACTGTTAAATTTTGAATTATGTCCCCCAAAATATGAGTTGTAAACCTTAGTTTCTTTGCCTATGTTTACACTGTTTGGAATGAGTTGTCTTTGTTATGTTGATGCGGTAGGATTAGTGAAGGGTATATCCTGAGTCAATCTCTTTTTAGAAACAAGTAGAGATTAAATAGGCAGCAGAGAGATGGGGTAAAATAGATGCCAAGACACATGGAGATCTCCAAGGAACCAGAAAGCAGAAGTTGAAGAGACACAGACATTCCTCTAAAGCCTACTGAGATAGAAGCCATTCCTTAGAGCTAGTGCTCTGAATTCAGACTTCCAGCCTCCTAAACTACAAGAAAATAAATTTCAGTTTGTTAAAGCTACCCCCTTGTAGTATGAGGAGGCTTCAAAAACTGTGGCGAAATGAAATTAAAAGACAATGTAATTTTTTCACGAACTTTTTGAAGCCCCTGTGTATTTCTATAATAGTAGAACTGTAGCTGTGTGCTATCTAATTGATTCTGACTCATGGACACCCTTTACTGGGTTTCAGAGAGCCACTGCTGAGTTTGAACCATTGACCTTGCAGTTCAAAACTAACCTTGTGGTCCATTATCTTACAGTGCTACACCGGGACTCCAGTGCTTATCCTAAGAGTCATAGCAGGACTCATAGAAGCATCTCATAGTGGTGGTGGTGGTTGTTATGTGCCGTGGAGTCGGTTCCAACTCATAGAGATCCTGTACAGGATTGCCGAAGCTGTAAGTCTTTAGGCAAGCAGAACGCCTCATCTTTCTCCCATGAAACCACTTGCAGTTTTGAACTGCTGACCATGATTTTAGCAGCCCAATTCAAAACCACTACGCTACCAGAGCTCCTTATCTCATAGTAGCATTGTTGTTTGTTGTTATTAAGTGCCTTCCAGTCGGTTCCGACCCATAGCGACCCATAGCGAGGCTGTAAATCTTTACGGGAGCAGAAAGCCTCATATTTCTCCCACGGAGCAGCTGATAGTTTCGAACTGCTGACCTTAAAGTTCCCAGCCCGATTTGTAACCACTACGCTACCAGAGCTCCTTCATAGTAGCATTCGATAACTGAAACAGAATTTGATACTGAGAGATGGGAGTGCTGCTCTAACACTGACCTAAGACGTGGAAGTGGTTTTAGAATGGGTGCAGGCTGGAGTCATTTTAAAGTGCTAATAAGTAGTACAGCCAGAATGTTCATAGCAACCCCAAAGGACAGAATAGAATTGCTCCTCAAGGTTTCTGAGACTGTAAATCATTGTGGAAATAGACAATCTCATCCTTCTCCTGTGGAGCTGCTAGTGGGTTTGAATTGTGGACTTTGCAGTTTGCAGTTCAACATTTAAATCACTATGCCACCAGGGCTCCTGTATTTGGAATGGTGAATAATTCTTATTCTTGATATTATCTTTTATAAAGGATAGCCTTTCTTGCTTACTATGTATTTCTAGACTCATACAGTATCAAAATCAGATCAATACACCTTATTGTTACTATATTTAATGAGCACAACAATTCCATAGAATAATAAAACAAAGCAAAAAGGCTGAAACAAATCTAGACATCATTATATTTGTTTGCATAGAGACTTTAATCCAAGTGCGGCTATGATCCACAGTACTTGTTATAAATACTGCACATCTATGCAACGAGTATTTACAAGTAAGAAAACCATGGCATGGAGAAATTAAGTAATTTGCTTCAGGTTCCACAACTAACAGGACCAGGATGTGAACCCAGGCAGTCTTTCAGTAGAGTTCATGTTTTTAAGCATTACCCTATATCCACATCTTGGTATACATTATTCAGAGAAAAAGCTGCAGATAGGTGTAACTAGAAAGAAATAGATATTAAGGAATTCTCAAACTCACAACCATATAATGAATCCATCAACTGAAACTATTTCTATAATTAAATTGTAGGTAAATAACTTCACTGATGCTAATATAATGAAAGTTCCCATTACTGCCAGAGATAGGGCCTGGGTATGAAAGGTGAAAGAAAAAAAATACTTTTTAATACAGTGTTTGGAATACTTTTAGTTGTAGAATATAAATCTCATAGGTTGGTTTTTGTTTTATTTTTTTTAAAGAAGAAAATAAAACAATGCTCTATAAGTATTATCTCATGTAATACTGACATTTTCACTTCAGAAGCTGCCATCTAAGCCACAGCACTGTGAATGAACTGCACCATTTCCTGTTACCTAGTGTCTGTCCCACATCATATTTAACCCTCCTCATAAGTCGCAACTAGATCTTGTTTTTCACTATATCTCAGCACAATGTTGTGATTGTTGTTAAGTGCCGTCGAGTTGGTTCTGACTCACAGTGAACCTTTATAGGGTTTTGGAGAGCGGCTGGTGAGGTTGAGTCGCCGATCTTGCAACTCCAATCAACCTTGAGGTTGAGTGCTTACCCTATGGCATCACACTAAGACTCCAGGACAATTTTGGTCCTCTATAAATATTTGTTGCATGAATTAATGAATGAGACAATGGAAATTTTTATTTTGTTCCAAGTGTTGAAGAATCATAGTACGTTTCAGCATGTCATGCTTATATAAAAGAACTTTAACAGAACAGACTTTTTCTATTCTGTGTAGATATTTAAAATTATTGACTCAAGAATATTCTGACAGACCTGAGATACATATAAATCCAGAAGAGAAAAATGCTTCATTGTATGAAGACAAGTTGTCAGTCTGGGCGTAGACAGCATACACAGACATGTGTGAACAAGCACATTCCACGTAGTCTGAAGTGTCCTCAACCACCTTGCAAAACTGACTGTCAGACAACCAGCTAAGGAAAAAACACAATTGTCATTATTCCTTTTATATCAGTACTTAAGGTGTTGAGATGACCTTTAAAGAAAAAAATAACTAGCTGAACTGAAAAGTGTTCTTTGCCCAAGATTTTAGCAGACTACATTTTCAACAAGAAACACTGGCAGGAACACATTGTCTAGGACATGACATAACAGATCCCACAAGATGGCTTAAGAAGCAGCTGAAATACCAACCCAAACCAAGCCGACCATTTCACATTACAAGGAAGCTGATCCTTTTAACAGAGTAGTACCTGTGTCTTTCTATCTAAATCGAATTCACCCCGGGGTTTTCAATAGGAGGTACTCTTCTCCATCATTAAAAACCCCTAATGATCTACATATGCATTATATGTAATGCTCATCCTACCTCGTTTTTCTCAATTGCTTGTGTTTTGAACCACTTACTTATATGCTTTTCTAAGAAGTCTCTTTCATCTTGTTTGTATGATGGAGCCACTTACAAAATCATGTATGTTTTCTAGGATAATTGCAAATGGTAGCTTCTATAAGGTCTAATTTGGCACACCATCCTTGTCATAAATAACAGCAATACAGCCTCGCCTCTCAAGACTTCTGAGTATTCTTTGGTGACTTTGGATCAAAAATCTTCCCTTTTGTTGGCTGTGGTGGTGGTGGTGGTAGTTGTGGTGGTGGGTATGTGCCGTAGAGTCAGTTCTGACTCATAATGACCCTGTATAAGTTTTCTGAGATGGTAAATCTTTACGGGAGCAGAAAGCCTGATCGCTCTCCTGCAGAGCAGTTGTTGGATTTGAACTATAACCTTACAGCTCGCAGTCCGATGCATAATCTACTACACCACCAGGGCTCCTTAATTCCACTAATTTTCTAGGCTTGAAACATTTGCTATTAATCATATATTGAGGATTAAAGATATTATAATACATTCGATTTAAGATCTGGCATTAAGTACAAAGAATTTCAATTTTAAATTATTTTTTTCCACAAAGAAAGTGGAAGACTTTTGTTGTTGTTTTGGAGGACAGTTGGTTACTCAGGTACACTATTAAACTTATTTTAAAATTTTGGTTTTGCTGGCTGAAATTCAGTAATAAACAAAATCTAGTGACTGAAGCTGGTATATTAACCCTCTGAACAAGCACTGCCTGACCCTGCAGTATTGACTGAGCTCTGGGTGCTGGTAATTATTCTAGAAGCTACGGGTATTAAGCAAAGATGATTAAAAAAAAAAAAAAAAACTCTATCTTCTTCCCATCAAGTGTATGGCTTTAATCCTCAACCACCATGCCATCCATGTATGGTCAAGAACTATAAATTTCAGTCATCTCTCGGAATGGAGAGTATCCGCTCCAGAAACAAAACAGTTGAACAGATTTGTTTCCTTTCCTATTTAACAAATTAACTGACAACTCTGGGAGAGTTATCTGAATTGGGTAGAATTCATGCTACCTCCCACAAAAGTGGTAATAATTAAGAAGTAAATGAAGTGTTACATATTTAAATTGTTCTACAGCATTTACACCTGAACAATGCTAAGACCATTTCCTATGCCGCTCTATTTATAGAGAAGGTTTTTCTCTAGCCATCTCTGTTCAGTACAGAAAATTGAGCTCAATGATGCTAGAATGGAGAGTGAAAATTTTCTGATTTGAAAAAGCTATTAATAAATACCTTGCAGCAGCCTGATTCCAAAGCAGACACAGGGATGTCCCGGGAACAATTCGAGGCTCTGCAGCATAAATCCTGTAGAGAACCTCATTGTTGTCAGCCAGGGGTTGTGAACTTTGACCTTTCACACTCAATGATAATACCTATAATGTCAAAAGAACCAAAAAATTAATGATATTTTCTAATTAGTGTCCGAATCTCCCATTCTGAACATTGTTTCATTTTTCTAGTCACTTTAGTCACTAGCTTACTACTACTATTTATAGTTAGCTTACTTATGAAGCTGGGTGTTTCTACAGCAGACATTCTATCACCTCTCAGCTACTCCAGTCTTCAGCAGAACACTCTCACTGTGACTATAATTGTTTGACTCCTTCATGGGGGAAGTATATAGTATGCTCTTATATTGCTGCATTGTTAAGTGCTATAGTCAGTTCCGACTCATAGAGACCCTGTCTAGGGTTTCCAAGGAACAGCTGGTGAGTTTGAATGGCTGACTTTGTGGTTCAAACCAACTTTGAAGTCCAGTGCATTAACTGACATCACCATACTATATATATTTATTTTTGGCTTTTAACACTTGTAAATAAATTTTAGTCCATACAACATGAAGGAAGTGTTTGCAACTCATTTTGAAACTAAATAGTCTACAAATAGTTCATAAATATATAAAATTTTTCATAATTAGTTCACCATGAGGAGCATAGAGCTGATCATGCAAATCCAATCTGAGGAGTATCTGCTAAGGAAAACTCAGATTCCAACAACATTATTCTCTAAAAAATAGATTACCTTGTTTTTCAGGGCAGGTAGATTGTTTCCCATTATAAGCCACTGTTGGCTGTTATACTCTGTGAACTGGACTAATTTACATGTACCCTTCCCAGTCATAACTTCTGCATCTGGGATCTCCAATAATCTCTCAGGAATTTGAATATAATCTCCTTCCTTTCCTTCAAACTTGTGCCCATTGATTTGCTGAGGATACCAGTGAAGAGCCCGTATTGACAAATAGGGACAACTGTCAAGGATGGTTTTACTTCTGAAACAGAAAAAAATAAATAAAAGGAAAGAAAGCTCTGCTACAATGATATGCAACTTGCTCATATATATCCACTTATATTTCTTCTTTACATATAGCAATGGCACTATAAACCCAGAATCAATAGAGGGGGTATAGTTTTCAGTTCTTTTATAGTTAAATGTCATGATTTTTGCACAGAACTTTCTGTATTCTCCTGCCTGATCCTCCTTATAACCAAAAACATAGAATTTCCAAAACTGTTTCATGGGTATTAGACACAATCTGTGACCATAAAATGTGTTTTTCTGTGCTGGCTACATCAACATTGGCTAGACTAGGTGGAGGAAAAAGCATGTCCACTAAACTGAAACCCTCTGCTTTATTTAAGAACAGTATAAACCTTATGTATCTATAGCCATGTTTTCATTAAGGGTCTTCCTCACTCCTTTCTAACTCACCAGAGCATTGCTAATCTAAACATGTGACTGGAAGATAAACAACCCTGAACCGTGATCTTTATTCATTTAAACAGTTCTATTTTGAAGATCTCCTAGGCACAAGACCCTGTATTCAATGAAGTTACTTCTAAACCTCAGTGTGTTGAGATCAGTTATAAGCTTGATTTAAAATAGGCATTTCTAGATAAATAACACTCCAGACTTGCTAAATCAGATTCTTTGCCTGGGAGAGACATGGGATATAGGAATCTATATTTTTTAAAAGTTTCACATAAAACGTAATGCAATTTATCTGTAAAGTTAGCATGTGAGAAGATACAAGGGGTAAAAACAAACCCTAACCTTAACCCTGAAATAATCTTTGGTCTTGAAACCTGTCTGAAAAAAATACATTAGGTTAAGAATTATACATTAACCATTAAATGCTAAATGAGCCATGATAGATAATAAAGACATCTTACATTCCAACTGAAGTGAAGAGGGGAAGGAAAAACAAACCTTAACATACAGATAAACACTACTACAGATCTATGGTGACCAACCTCAGCTCTTGCTCTGAATGCCAATTAAGATTCTTTTTACTTGACTAGCTCCTTTTCCCATGTTTCCAAATGATTGCTCTAGACTCTACTCATTCTTCTTAATCTGCCTACTCAACTCTCAACCCTCCACTTTCAGCAGATGCCCTTGAATACTGCTTAAGACAATACATAAATAATGTTTATCAGAACAATAGACACCTTTAGGAGTATTTGAAACTAGTCTTGATTTCTTTTATTGCCTAAATTCAGTTTGTCACTAGTGTTAATTCTACCACCTAAATATTTTCAAGGCACCACCCTCTCATTCTTCCACTGTCCATGCCTTAGTTCCAACTTTCATTTTCTCTTACATGGAAAAATGATCCCCTATGTTGTCTTCCTATCTCTTGCTTTACTCTATTCTCCAACCATTAACATTGTCCTTAAGATAAGTGCTCTAAAATCCTAAATCTGATTGTTTCATGTACACACATACACACAAAAAAACCATACCACACTACACTCTACCTAGTTTAAAAGCTTTCCTTGATAGTTCTTCAGTCAAAAACCTGAAAGCACTTAACAACAACAATATAAAAGGCCACTGTAAAAATAAAATAATGCATAACTTTTAGCAAGGATTAGATTAAACGTTATGAAATTGGAGTACTGGTGTGGAGTTGTAGAATAAGTTAACCACAGGCTGATGGTTCAAACCCACCAGCCATTCCTTGGAAACACTATCCACGGTCGTTATGTGTTGAAACTGACACACACATATGAAATACCAATAGTGCACTATTTTTGTTGTATAAAAAGGCAATTCCACATGGTTCAATCTAATACAATATGAAAAGTATTACAGAATTTTATGATGCAAGAACTAAAGTTAAAAATATTACAAATCTAACTAATTTTAATTAGCCAGTCAAGAGTTCACAAAGGGTCGCCCTACATATAAAGAGATTATTCAAATTATTATCTCAGATTTTTTAATGACTTCTTCAAAATATCTCTGAATTTTAATGTGACTTTAATACACACTGATTGAAGCGTTCATTAAAAGAATAAATTTAACAGAGTTTTATATAAATTAACAGTGATTTATATAAACACTCTTAACCAGACATTTCCCACTAAATAATAGCCATTGTATTTCAAATACCATATGTTACTTTGTGAGAATTGGGGCTAAATTTCAACTAACAGCAAAGTTCTATTGTCAACCATTTTTATGTTGGATCAAAATTACAAATACCATTTTTAAAAAATTGTTTTACAATAATTGAATTTATCTCATGAATATAATTTCTAATACCATGGTATGTGAAATAACTCAGAGTTAGAATAGGAATTATAGTCAATAATGAACACTGTATTGCTGTTGTTAAGTGCTGTTGGTTCCAGTTCCTAGCAATCCCTCATAAGGTTTCTCAGGAGCATCTTGTGGGTTTGAACTACTGAATTTGCAGTTAGTGGTCTAGTACTTATTCTACAGCACCACGTCAGGACTCCATAATGAGCATTAAACATATTTTAATTTTTCCTTTTTTTCTTCTAGCCTTCTGCCATGAAATAACTAGTCTGAAAACCAACTGTATTCTGAGAGCATCCTAATGGATGAGACTGAACCATATTCCAAGTAGAAGCAAAATTAAAAGCACACCAAAAAGACATAAAGGTTGGAATCAACTTTTCTTTTTCTTGTATTCAAAATGTATTTTCTACTTGTTATATAATATGAGTAAACAATAGGACTCATTTAAATTTTAAAGATGCTGCAAATTAAGAATATGATGTTGGCACTATAAATTCATATTCTCATGAATCAGGTTTTTTGAAATAAATAACTTCATATGTCTAAGAGGTTCAACGCATTGACTGTAAAATTCTTAATTAAATCTAAATTCAATTTGCATTATATATTGCTTTGTAAGCTGTGAAAAATATGTGGATACAGGAACCAATAATATATTTAAGGATACTTACTTTTCACCAGGAGAGCCACAAGTAACATCTGTCAGCAGAGAAAAGGCAAAATTCTCAGTCACTTCAGCAAAATGACTGAATCCCTTAGTATCCTTACGCTTTGGGTTAATAAGAGCACAAAGAATTTCATAAAGAAGATTTCGGCTTTCAATGCTGAACATTTGATTTTTTCCTTCAACAGTTATCTGAAAAAAAATCAAGTGTGAAAATACATCATCATCAAAATTAAATTTAAGTTATCTGCATTGTTTTGGTAATATTTCTTCTTTGTTCACAATTAATACTTGTACTTACTTAAAAGGCACAAATGATATTTTTATTATGCCTTTCCTTATACATTATTTCCTATTTGATCATTAGATATAGTCCAAGATGACTGTATTTTAACCATAAATATTTAATATCATAAATGAAAATTAATTTTACTTTTATATACATCCCAAGGATTCTTACTTTTTTGATCAACATTTAAAAATTTAGTTAATGCCTCAAGAGTATCAATAATGGAAGCAAGATAATTCTTTACTATCTGTTTTTCAGCAAAATAAGTTAACATGCAGCACTACATTTCAAAGTATCAAATGAGAAAATCTTTTTCCAACCAAGAGTGGAAAAGACTTCTTTGCACTCTTGCCTTTAACAGTAATTATGACACCTACTTTAAAATAACTGAATGATTTGTTGCTTACGGGGCTGGGATATAGATAGAAAAAGAGTTTTTGTGACACATTTTCTTTCCTTGTGTGAGAAAGAAGAGGCTTTCCATTCTGGCAAAAGAACTTTGTAAAGGTCACTATGAGTCAAAACACACTCAACAGCACTTAACAACAATCTAGTTCAGTAGTACATAATTTTTAGTATACTCATATATCTATTCCAAAGAGTGCATGAAAATAAAACTATTTTAATGTGAAATTACTATATTTTATATTAAATAAAGTATTTGTTGTTTATCTGAAATTCAAACTTCATGGGACATCCTGTATTTTTATTGGTTAAATTTAGCAATACTATATAAGGAGCTCTGGTAGAATAGTGGTTACAAATTGGGCTGCTAACCTCAGGGTCAGCAGTTCAAAACTACCAGCTGTTCTGCAGGAGAAAAATGAGGCTTTCTGCTCCAGTAAAGATGTACAGCCTCGAAACCCTGTACAGGGTCGCTATGAGTCGAAACCAACTCCACGGCACATTACCAGCACCACCACCATATACTGTGATAAAAAATCAAGATATTGTAGGTTTGGTTCCAGACCACCACCATAAAGCAAATATCACAATAAAGCAAGTCACAATTTTGTGTGTGTGTTTTTCAGTGCATATAGAAGTGTCACCAAGTTGGTACTTACTCATAGAGACTTCATATAAGGTTTCTGAGGAGTGGGTTTGAGCTGCCAATCTACAATGCCACACCAGGACTCCAAGTGTACAATTTGTTGTTGTTGCTAAGTACCACTGAACTGGTTCTGACTCAGTGGTCCCAAGGAGCAGCTGATAGATTTGAACCTCCAACCTTTTGGTCTGCAGTCCAGAGTTTATCCTACAGCACCACACCAGGACTCCAAGTGTGCGACAGCATTACGTAAAGTTTGAAATATTGTGGAAATCACCAAAATATGATACAGAGATACAAAGTGTGCACATGCCCTTGGACAAATGATGCAGACAAATTTGCTTGACACAGTGTTATCACAATCCTTCAATTTATTTTAAAAATTTAGTAACTGTGATGTACAATAAAACAAGGTAGGCCTATACCAAGTTACTTAGAATTCTCCAGGTAAAGACCAAGTTTTCCAAACAGATATCAGTCACCACCAAGAAAAAGTAACTATAACTATCAAAAAGCAATGAATTCCATTCTTATGGTCAGAAACTTAACTCTATCATAATTCCATTAGAATTTACCTAATAACTGGTGTCAGCTGCCTACATTTGTGAGGACTTCTTACCTTGTCTATTAAATGCACAATGGCACTGAGCTGTTCATCTGTGTTCTCTGTGGCCACTTTTATGTTAATATTGTGGAGCACACTGTTGAGAATGTCATTATCTAAGGGCTGGTGCAGCTGGTCTTCAAGCCCCCAAACAGCCTGAGAATCCGAGTCAGACACAAGTGTGATGTTGGCAGTCCCGTATACTTGATCAATTCTGGCCCCACCTTTTGGGTCAAAAAGCACAATCTGGAAGCGTTTAGGAAACGGATTTAAAGATGCCGTCTCTGGGGTTAGGATGACATCCACTACGTTGTTTCTCTGACCAGGTTCAAAGACCAATGTGCCTTCAGTTCTCACAAAATCTTTCCCAGAAATAGCTGGAGATATGAGAGTACGACCTACTGTTTCAGTGCTCCGAAGCTCCTAGAAATTCAATAATACCACTTAAGTGAAACACCTTCAATCTTGTTCTCAACAAGTTCTTAATTATACAAATGTTATTTCTCTTAAGCAAAATAATGAGCAATGCCAACATTATAACTAAAACACAGGGCTTCTAGTTTTTCTAATCTCCAAAAGGGGAGTCCTGGTGTGGTACTGTGGGTTAATGCGCCAGACTGCAAAGCAGTTTGAACTATCAAGCTCACCAGCAGCTCCATGGAAACCCTATACAGGGTTGCCATGGGTCAGAACCGACTCGATGGCACTTAACAACAACAACACAAGGGGAGATCAGTAACTCTGTAGGATAAGCACTGAACTGCAAACCACAAGGTGGGTGGTTAGAGCCCATCAGTCACTCCTTGGGATAAAAATCAGGCTTTTTGCTCCCACAAAGATTTGCAGCCTCAGAAACCCTATACAGGGTCAGTATGAGTTGGAGCCGACTGGACTGCACTTAACAATAACAACAATCTCCTAAAGGGGTCCTGGTATAGTGCTGTAAGATAAGCACTACACTGCTAACCATAAGCTCAGTAGTTCAAACCCACCAGCCACTCCGCATAAACCCTATACAGTGTTGCTCTGAGTCGGAACCAACTTGATGGCACTTAACAACAAATGCAACAGTCTCCTAAAATAAACTAATGATAGAGATATGTTTCATAAAGTGATGAGGATAAAAAAGATATATGCCTTTCAAAGAAAATAATGAAGAAAAGGAATGCAAGATCAGAGACAGATCAAGAACAACAATTAGAAAAGGCATATCACTATACCTTCTTATAGATTTGCTCCAATTTGCAAATACGCTAAAAATTGTGTGTATACAGCTGTAAATGACACATACTACAAAATACAAATGTCAAGGAAAAGACGTGATATTTTCACTTTAATTCACACCTAGAATTCAAGAGGGGAGGACATAAAAAGGAGATAGGGAGAATCAAGGAAAAGACATGGTTCTTGTACTTTAATTCATACCTAGAATTCAAGGTGGGGAGGAGATAAAAAGGAAATAAAGAGAAAGACAGAGGAAAATGAAGAAATAAAAATAATGTAGCCTCTTGTCATTAACACTTAGATATGGAAATATCATAAAGAATGAGGTCCTGGGCATAAAAGTGGGCTTCAAAAAATGTGTGGAAAAGTAGAATAAAAAGATAATGGAATTTTTCCATAAACTTTTTTAAGCCCCTTTTTATATTCTTCTGAGTTCTCCAAATTACGGTTATTAAAAGTATTTTGGAAAGCGACTCATGAGCATATCGTCAATGAAGTACCAAAGGAATGTACATTTATTTACTACTGAGCCAACAAATAGGTAACCTAGCACTGTAGGTTAATGCACTGGACTGCAAAGTTGGTTTGAGCTCACAGGCTGCTCCTGGGATACTCTCTCCAGGGTTGCTAAAGATCAGAACCAACTCGATGGCATTTAACAACAGCATTAGGGATGCAGCAGGGAACAGCAGAATACCTATTCTAGTGGAGGAGTTGGGGTAACAGCTATGGAATTAGTGATTTAATTTTATATGATTATGAGTTTTATGAAGAAATATAACGGTACCAGGAGACAAGGTTGGCAGTTCAAACCCACCAGCTAATCTTCAGAAACTGTATACAGTATTGTTATCACTTTGAATTGACTCAACAGCCCTTAACAACAAAACCTTGCAGATAATGTGGGTTCAGTTCCAGACCATCACAAAAAGCAAATAATGCAAAAAAAAGTGAGCCAACTGGATTTTTTTTGTTTCTCAGCACATACAAAAGTTATGCTTACACTGCACTGTAGTCTATTAAATGTGCAATAGCATTATGAAAAAAAAACATGTGAAATGTTATGAAATTAAAATGCAATACAGAAACATGAAAAGAGTATATACTGTTGGGAAAATGATGTCAGTAGATTTGCTCAATGCAGGCTTGCCACAAACCTTCAATTTATAATAAACACAATTGCTGTGAAGAGCAATAAAGGGAATCACACTATAGTGAGGTATGTCTGCACGTATTAAACTTGAGGTGCCTTTTAGACATTCAAGTTAAAGTGTAAAGTGGTAGTACTAAAAATATATGCCTCTGGATTGGGGAAGAGAAAAGGTAAGACTTGAAACTTTGGAAGGCATCAGTTGACAGATTAAATTTAAGGAATAAATCCAGATGATTTAGCATAAAGAGTAAATCTTGCTGGATCTTAACATTTACTGGATCTCAACATAGACAACAAAGGTGACAGAAAGGAGTTGCCAGAAAGGTAAGAGAAAAAGCAGGTAAGTGTGGTATTCCAGAAGCCCAGAGAAGATTTGTATAATTCATGAAACAGGAAGTAATTAATTGTGTCAGAAACAGAAGATCAGTGAAGAGCAGGGCTTTTCAAGAACATTCTGGGTGCAATAGAGGAATAAAAGGCCTCACTGAAGGGATTTAAAGCAGAATGAATGTAATATCTATAGCAGACTAAATAGCCTGAACAATGCTCTAATTGAAATGACTAACTGTTGGATAAAATATTAAAACATATTTTAAATGCATTGCTCAGCTGTTAAGAAAAGAATGAAACTTGGGGCCCAGAGAAAGTGTCAAAATGTTTTTTGCTATAAAGGCTCTGCCATTAATACTCTTTGCTAAGACCATAGCTGCAGGGTAAAATGACAAGTGGGTATGCATGAAAATATAGTCTTCATAAATAAGTGTCCTTTATGAGTTGTATCCTAGTGACAGCATTACTTTGCAAGAAATTACTTTGTAATAACATAGAAAAAATATTAGTGAATATGATAGAAATACTGGCATTCAGATTTTGGGGGCAATTTCAATTCCCCTTTATCTGAGTGTATGAACCATCTGAAAATGTGCTTCAAATCTCTTTATCGTGTTTTCTTCTTCTCCAATTTCTCTTTTTTCACTCTTCAAAATAGTGGGCACATGATGATATATATTTCATGGGAGAAAAGGAAACAAGAAGCACCTTTTTTTTTCTCTGTTACTCATTTATCTTGCTATCTAAAACATTCAAAACAAAAATACTAATATCTTCCCACTATGAATCAAGCTACTTCACGCTACATTCATACCACCTCAAGGCTATTTAGAATTAAGTATATTTCTAAGGTTTTATATAATAAGAGGAGTCTTGGTGTGGTGCTATAGGATAAGCACTGGACCTCAAGGTCTGTTTGAACCACAAGGTCAGAAGTTCAAACCCACCAGTCAACCCTCAGAAACCTTATACAGGGTCGCTATGAGTTGGAATTGATTTGGTGGCACTTAACAACAACATATAATAACAAGCACAAGCCCTGATGGGACAGTGATCAAGCATTCGCTGATAGCCAAAAGGTCAGAGGCTTGAACTCACCCGTCACTCTGAGGGAAAAAGATGTTTCCGATTGCTTCCATGAACAGTTACAGTCTTGGAAATTCCAGGGGCCAATTCTTGTCTGTCCTATAGGCTTGCTATGAGTTAGAATTGACTCAACAGCAATGGGTATGTCATAGAGCGTTTGTCTGTTCATTACTAGGCTGTGAATTCTAGTCATAAAGACAAGCTTTTCTCAACCTGAAAAGCTTCCAAGACAACAACAGCATATTTTTCATATATATATGGGGGTGGCTATGTGCCATAGAGTCGGTTCCGACTCATAGAGACCTTGTACAGGGTTTCCAAGATTGTAAATCTTTACGGGAGCAGAAAGCCTCATCTTTCTCCCGTGGAACAGCTGGTAGTTTCAAACTGCTGAACGTGAGATTAGTAGCCCAGTTCATAACTACTACGCTACCAGAGTTCCTTCATATATATACCACAGCTACTTCATATATACCTTTAGGAAGAGCTCCTTCATATATAATATTTTATGCACAAAATTTTCTACTTCTTTTAACCACTCCCTATGAGTTACATAACCAAGCACAGAATAAATGGGACTTTATAACAAAACTCTACCACTGAGGCCTAAGAGTCACCAGGGTTAGTGGTGTTCTGGATTGAATTGTCTCTCCCTAAAGATATCTTGAAACCCTAACCCCCAATACTTATGAATGTGACCTTGTTTAGAAATAGGGTCTTTGGAGATTTTATCAATTAACAAGCAGTCATACAGGAGTTGTTGTTGCTGAGTGTCATTGAGTCATTTCAGATTCATAGCAAGCCTATATCGGGTTTCCAAGGAGCAGCTGGTGGGTTTGAACTACTGACCTTGTGGTTTGCAGTCCAGTGCTGATCCTACAGCACACCAGGAGTCCTGTAAGACAGCTGTTGCTGTTGTTGTTAAGTGTCATTCAGTATTGACTCATAGCAACCCTATGAACAACAGAATGAAACACTACCCAGCCCTGGGACAACCTGACAATGGTTGCCACGCTCGAGCCCATTGATGCTGCCACTTTGCCAATCCATCTTGCTGGGGGTCTTCCTATTCTTCTCTGACCCTCAACCTCACCAAACACGGTATCTTTCTCCAGCAATAGGTCCCTCCTGACAACATGTCTGAAGAATAAGAGATAAAGTTTGGCCATCATGGCCTCCAAGGAGCACTCTGGCTGCACTTCTTCCAACACAGATCTGTTGGTTCTTTTGACAGTCCATGGCACTTTCGGTATTCTCCTCCAACACCACAACTCAAAGGCATCAATTCTTCTACGATCTTCCCTATTCACTGTCCAGCTTTCACATGCATATGAGGTTATTG